ACAACAACAACAATAATTTCAAATCATTCTTTTGTCTTTTTCATGTAGTGTTAACATGCCATTTCTTCAATTTCAAATATTAAATAGTAGCTGACAAAAGTTGTAAGTTACTTTTACCTCCCTCCAGATTTTCTACAGAAGAAAAAGAGGTTTTAAATCTACACCCAAGAAATTATCACTAGGTTTAGAACAAAAAAGAAGATACCAACAAAAGCAAACACTCTACTTAAAAATTCAGTGCTATGTTGTAAATATGGAAAAGAATTTTGACATGCATAAGTGGCGCTGTAAGATATGCACTGGACTGCTAACCCCAAGCTCATGTGTTCAAACCCACCAACCACCTCACAGAGAAAGATGAGCATTTCTACTCCCATAAAGATTCAACCTCAGAAACCCAACATGGTTTGTTGTTGCTAAGTATTGTCAAGTTGGTTCCAACTCATAGCGCCTCTGTAAAGGGTTTCAGAGACTGCAAATCTTTACAAAAGCTGAAAGTCTCACCTTTCTCTCAGAAAGCAGCTGGCTGGTTTAGTAAGCAGTCCGGTGCTTATCTTACAGCACCACCAAAATTTGTCAAAATTCTTTTCCATATTCACAGTACAGCACTGAATTTGTAAGCAGACAATTTGCTTCCATTGGTATCTTCTTATCTGTTCTAAACATAATGATAATTTCTTGGAATCAATTCAATGGCAGTGGGTTTTGGATTGGGTTTTAGTTTCTTTGTATAAAATTAAAATCGTTACTTATGTCCCCTATTAAGTCCCCCTCCCCCTTTTTTTAATATGGCCAGTAGTTGTTTCTCAAGTTAATAAAAGACAAGCTTTATGGATATTACAATGGAAATACTAGCATTTAGGCAAAAAAGTAAGCTTAAGGCCATGCCCTCATAAAGTAAAGAAAAATACAGAAAAATGAACTAAAGAGTTAAATGTTAAAAAACCACATTGAAAAAAGGCAAAAGAAAAATGAAAAAACAAAAAAAGGATGAATGAATATTGAAATATTTTTATATGAGGAAAGATCTTTATAAATATAAAAATAAGAATGCTTCCAGAACCTTTGTTGTTGTTAAGTTCTATCAAGTTGGTTCCAACTTATACGACCCTGTATAGGGTTTCCAAGGAGTGGTGGGTGAGTTTGAACTGCCAACCTTGTGGTCCAGTGCTTATCCTGTAGCGCTATACCAGGACTCCTCCAGAAGCATGAAGGACGTAATTAGTTTACTCTATTAATAAGACCCTAATACTAATAACAATCTACTAACAATCAGGGTCATTAAGTGGAAAATAATGTCTTGGTGATAGCAACAATGCTGGAGGTCGCATTATATAATTTTGTAAGACCAGCAACTTATTTATTGCAAATACCACCTTTTTAAACAGCATAAATGGCAACTATACTAATGGAATCACCAGATGGAATACATAGGAGAGATGATGGAGACGCTAAGTATCATCAATCAAAGTAAGACCAGGAGTCAACTGTGGAGCAGATCATAGATTGCTCATATACAAGTTCAGGCTGTGGCCGAAGAAACTTTAAAGAAGCCCATAAGAGTCAAGATATGACCTTGAATACATCCCACATGATTCAGAGATCATTGACAAGAAACAGATTTGATGCATCAGACACTAATGACCAAAGACCAGAAGAATTGTGGGATGACATCAAGAACATCATCATCATTGCAAAGACAGGAAATAAAGATGGATATCAGAGAGGCTCTAAAGCTTGTTCTTGGGTGTAGAAAAGCTAAACCAACTTTAAGAAATAAGGAAGTAAAAAGAGCTGAACTGAACACTTCAAAGAGCAGTTCAAGAAGAGAAAGTCAAGTATTATAATAATGAAATCTGCAAAGACCTGGAGTTTAAAAACCAAAAGGGGAAAACATGCTCAACATTTCTCAAGTATTGATAATAATACATGTAAGTAAATTTTGCTAAATATAATTCAAAATGGTTTTAGCAGTACTTTGACAGGGACCTGTCAGAAATTCAACCAGAATTCAGAAGAGAATGTAAAACAAAGGATATCACTGCTGACATCACATGGATCTTGAAAAAACAGAGAATACCAGAAGGACATTTACTTGCGCTTTATTGACTTATGCAAAGGCATTCGACTGGATCACTACAAATTATGGATAACACTGCAAAGAATGGGTATTCCAGAACACTTAATTGTGCTCCTGAGGAACCTGTACATAGACCGAGAGGCAGTTGCTCAAAGAGAACAAAGGGTTACTGAATGATTTTAAACCATGAAAGGTATACACCAGGGCTGTATCCTTTCACCACACTTACCCAGTCTGCATGTTGAGTAAATAATCTGTGAAACTGGATTATATGAAGAAGGACGCATCAGGACTGGAGGACGACTTAGTGACAACCTTTCATATGCAGATGATACATTTGCTTGGTGGAAGCAAAGAGGACTTGAAATACTTACTGAAGAACATCAAAGACTAAAGCCTTCAATATAGATTGTTCCTCAATGTAAAGAAAATAAAAGTACTCACTAGACCAATAGCATAATGATATGTAGAGAAAAGACTAAAGTTATCAAAGACTTCATTTTAGTGGAATCCACAAACAACATTCATGGAAGCAACAGTCAAGAAATCAAATGATGCACTGGATTAGGCAAATCTGCTGCAAAAGATCTTTTTGAAGTATTCAAGAGCAAAGATACCACTTTGAGAACTAAGGTGTGCCTGACCCATAGCCATAGTATTTTCAATAGCCTCAAAAGCATATGAAACTTAGACAATGAATAAGGAAGACCATAGGAGAATCAATGCATTTGAATGGTGGTGGGTGTTGGCAACGACTATTCAAAGTACTAAGGATTGACAGACAGAATGCTTTTTAGAAGCGAGGATAGCAAGATTTCATCTGTAGTAGTTTGGACATATTATCAAAAGGGATCAGTCCTGGGAGAAGGACATCACTTTTGGTAAAACGGAAGGGCAACAAAAAAGAGGAAGACCCACAACAAGATAGATCGACTCACTGGCAGCAGCAAAGGGTTCAAACATAACAATTGTGAAGATGGTACAGGACCTAGTAGTGTTTCATTCAGTTGTACACAGGGTCAGGGAATCAACTCGATGGCACCTAACGACAAAAACACCATCAACTAATAACACAATGAAATAGTCAATTAAAATATAAATTAAAAAGTGGTTTTGTTTTTTTAGAGACAAACAATTAAAAATGTAAAACTAAATTATGACCAATTGCTACAATCAATTTGAAAAACAAAGGTCTAGGAGAGAAATGGCATCACAGAGAGCCATGGCATTTTATATCCAGGTTAATCTATAAACAGAAGATGCAACTTTGACCAGCATGGGAACTGTAACTGAGCCTCCTGTATAAGGCGTAACCCACATCAACGTGCTGCTTCATTTAAAAGCACAGGACTGAAAACACTGTCTGTCAGCCAGAGAAGCAACACTAGGTTTCTGGAGTAGACTTGACCGCACACAATGACCATAAAATAAATTAAAAACTCCCAAGCCTATGTTAATAACAAATACACTGTCAAAATTTTAGTGTAAATGTGGTGTGGGAACCAAGAATGCTGAGAAGCTAATAAATAACCACACTTCCCAATGAAAACATCTCTATGTTTGGTACGTAATACATTGCATCGTATGAATGTTATGTGTACGTCTCTCCTATTGGATTATAAACTCTGACAGACATGTAATATGCTACATGCCTAACACACTACATATAGTGAGTCCTACAGTAAGATGATATCTTATTTTTCATTTTGAAATCTCATTTTTGTTTTTGGATATATCCTCTACTATCGCTGAAATGGAGTCCTACTATAGTGCTGTCAGATAAAGCACTGGACTGCAAGGTTGGCAGTTCAAACTCACCAGCCGCTCCTAAGAAACCCTATATGGGGTCACTATGAGTCGGAACAGACCCAACAACACTTAACAACAACACTGTTGAAATATAATTTTTATAGGTAAAAATTGTTGGTACCTTTCATGAGTATCAATCGGCTCTGGAACGGAATCTAAGTTTCAGAATCAGCATGAGCTTCCAGTGTGTGTCAGCTTACCTAATAGCAGTTACTCGGAGGATGAGGGCCTCCGTTTGCTCTGACAAATGCGATGGCAGTAGCAGCTCCACTGGCTGCAGGCCCAGTATCCGCGTTTCCAGTTCTGAACGGGTAGCAGAGTCTTGGAAACTATCAAACACAACCTCACCGGTGGCAGGCTGTACACCCTAGAAAGAAACAAAAATACAATGTCACAGAATTTTTTTTTTTTTTTTTAACCATTGTACCTATGACACAGCACAAATCAACTTGGTAGCAAAACAGGCGATGCACTAATTAAGGATGTGCTCCAGTTCTAAAGATCCAAAAGGAGTCAGCCTCACCACTATCTAAACCACACAAGGTGGAACTCCACAGGCAGCTTGACTTCAAGGTCTGGATCTGATAGACCTAGCTAAGTGACTGTGATGTCACCAAGCCCCCTCCTGGACCTCCGTTTCCTTGTTGGTTAATGCACTGGACTACACAGTCGATTTGAACCACAAGGCCGGCAGTTCAAGTTCACCAGCCGCTCCTTGGAAACCCTCTACAGAGTTGCTATGGGTCAGAACCAACTCTATGGCATTTAACAACAAAAATGAGTGGGGATAAATCAGCCAATTTCCTTCACTGGGTTTTTGTAAGGATCAGAAAGCAAACATGTAAATGCTTTGTAAACTATAAAGCACTAACCTACTAATACTGCTACTGATATTGAAGTGTAGGGGGCTACTGTGAGGACTAGTTACAGCTAACAGGCAGAAAAACAACCAATCCCTACACTCATTCACCGCAAGTGGAGAGTGAGCAGGCACAATCACTTTAGAAAACAGCTTGGCATTATCTAAGAAAGTGAAAATATTCCTACTCCGTAACTCAGCAATTCTTCCAAGAGGTATGCACTCTTGAAACTCAAGCTGATATATACCATAATACATGCATTTATAGCAGCATCACTCTTTGTACAACCAGAAACTAAAAAGAACTCAGATGTTCATCAACAATAAAAAAACCAACTACAGATCACAAAGTGGAATACTACAGATCAGTGATAATGGTCACACTTATAAACAAATCTCGTATACATAACAGTCAATGGAAACAAGCTCCAAAGAACACATGCAATGTGTTTACATAAATAGATACAGTCTAAATTGGTAAATTGGAATTTTAAGATTATTGTCATAAAAGTCAACCTTGTGATTTCAGAGTCTGGGTGTGGGATTAACACACTGTGGGATTAACAATGGCCCACAAGGTCAGTTTGAACCACAAGGTTGGCGGTTTAAACTCAACAGCTGCTCCTTGGAAACTCTATAGAGGGTCACTATGAGTTGGAACCAACACCACAGCAACAATCGTTTCCAAAAGATATAACCAAGGTCACTGAGCAACTTGTGTAAACACTACTGAATGGGAACCAACACTGTTGTGTAAAAATTCACCAAAAACACATTTTTTTTTTTTTTAAAGGAGGGATGGTGGTGAAACTTCCAGCAAGATGGCAGACTAGGAAGACACACTACACAGACCCTCTACAACAAAGATACAAGAGACCACATGAAACAGACATAGATGAAAATCCTGGAACCATGAACTTCAGTGGAAAGGTTAGAGAAGTTAATTGAGTGCTTGCTGGAAGGAGAAGCTAAGCAGGGACAGCAAGACTGGTGAATGGCCTGCCAGACCATCTTGAGCCTTTGTGAGCAGTTTTGACAATAAGAGGCCTGGCAGAGCAGATTCACATAAGTGATGGACAATGTGTGATTCCTTCTTATTCCCCATGCTTCCCCGGTCACTTGTGTGGCCAACTCCCACCCTCATCCACCCCCAGTGCAGTCCCTGCTCTCTAAGAGTTTAGTCATGTGGTTGTGAGGCAGGGAATGACTATGCCAATTTGGCACCTGGATTCAGGCAGCAGGCTTGGCTCCATACTTAAAGAACCCACAGAGCCACCAGGCCAGTTATTAGTCTAGCAGAAACCCTCATAACCAGTCATCCTGCCCTCAGCGGAACTGTGGCCCTAACAGACACTGAAACTAGTTTCATCAAGGGCCTCCACGAATTCCTTCCAGACTGAGTACCCTGAACACAGATAACACTCAGACCTAGAAGACTTCATTGTGACTCTAACAGCAACTAACAACAATTCTCTTTTCATCTTCCCTCTCCCTAATTTTTTTGTGTTTTTTTTTCCTCTGATTTTTCTCTTCTATAGCTCTAATTTCCTGTCCCTCTTTTCTCTTTTTAAACATTATATTCTTTTTTACTGTTTGCTGCCTGATATTTTTTCTTAATTCTCCTTTATTACTTTCATTTTTCATTGTGGGTTGCTTGTTTGTTTACTGTTTTGTTTTTTTGTGTGTTTGGGGAGTGGGGGTTTTCTCCTGTTTCCCAGCCAACAAGAGACAGCAACCCTGCTCACAGAGTCCAGCCATAACCATATCCTCTACAACTCCACCCACTGGACAAGAGCTAGTACCAGCTCCAATACGACATGAGACGGAGCTCTGGTAGTGTAGTGGTTATCAATCAGGCTGCTAATCTCACAGTCAGCAATTTGAAATTACCAGCTATTCTGCATGAGAAATATGAGGCTTTCTGCTCCCGTAGAGATTTACAGCCTCGGAAACCCTGTACAGGGTCACTATGAGTCGGAACCGACTCCATGGCACATAACAACAACATATGACCTGATTAATAGCAACACCAGTCAAACCCACCCTAGACTGAGGTGCACAAACAGAGAATGGGGAACAGTGAGCACATTTCCATTCTCAAAATACACCCACAGGAGACAGCTAGTGAGACCCTAAAGTATACATCAACATACAGTGATCTAATGGAACTAACTGAAAAAAACAATTCAAACAAATGTTATTTAGGTACCTTCAAAGGACTGACAGAAAGACTGAGAACACAAGAAAAAAACTTAGAAGAATTCAGGAAAACATTACATGAGCAAACAAAACAAATGAAAATTTGGAAGCAATAAAAAAACTCTGCAATTAGAAATTCAGAAAATTAATTCTAAGATTTCAGAAGTGAGCAATATATTGGAAGGTCAAAGGGCAAATGGAAGCCCAAATTAGTGGGCTTTAATATAAATTTCCCAATACTAGCATAATAGAAGACAATCAGAAAAAGAATGAAAAAATCCAAAGGCAGATTAAAAGTTATGTGGGACACCAAGAAGAGTGATAATTTATAGGTGATCGGAATTCCAGATTAAGGGGGAACAAAAAACAAAAAAAAAGAAACACACAGAAAACTGTCAAAGAGTTATTGGAAGAAAACTTACCTAGCCAACATGAAAAATGAGAAGATAAGTATACAATAAGCTGAATGAACCCCAAACAGGATAGATCCCAAAAGAAAATCACCAAGACATACATAATCAATCTTTCTAAAACCATGGACAAGCCAAGAGTCCTGAGAGCAGCTCAGGAACAACAAAAAGTTACCTACAAAGGAGAACCACTAAGACTAAACTCTGATTTCTCATCAAACACCATGTAGGCAAGAAGGTAATAATACAATGACATGACATACGCCAAAACTGAAAAGAAAAAAAAGAATGCCAACCAAGAATCATACACCCAGCAAAATCATCCCTCAAATACAACAGCAAAATCATAACATATCCAGATAAGCAGAAATTGAAGGAATTTTTAATAACCAGACCAACGTTACAAAAAAAAAAAAAAAACACTAAAGGGTGTTCTTTGGACTAAAAACCAGTAACATGAGATTAATATACATGTGAACACCACCTACAACTCAATCCATGATATTGTTGTTATTGTTTGGTGCCATCAAGCAGGTTGTAAATCATACACAAAACAGAATGAAACACAGCCTGGCCCTGCACCACCTCACAACTGTTGGTTTGCTTGAATCATTGCTGCTACCTCTGTGCCAATCCATCGCGCTAGAGTTTTTCCTCTTTTTTGCAGACCCTCAACTTTACCAAGCATGATGTCCTACTCCAGGCAATGGTCTCTCCTGATAACATGTCCAAAGTATGAAGACAAAGACTCACCATCCAGGCTTCTAAGTACTCCAGCTACACTTCTTTCAACACAGACCTGCTGGGTTCTTCTGGCAGTCCATGGTACTTTCAATATTCTTCTCCAACATGCAAACTCAAATACATCAATTTGTCTACAGTCTTCCTTATTCATTGTCCAACTTTCACATTTATCTGAAGCTATTGCAAATACCATGGCTTGGGTCAGGAACACCTTCGTCCTAAAACTGGTATCTTCGCTTTTGAACATATGAAAGAGGTCTTGTGCAACAGATTTGCCTAATGTAAAAAGTTGTTTGACTTCTTGGCTTCTATTTATTACATGAGTGTTGACAGTAGATCCATGCAAACTACAGTCTTTGGCAACGTCAATCTTTTCTCTGTTTATCATGATGATATTAATTGGTCCAACTGTGAGGATTTTTGTTTTCTTTACATTAAGGTGTAATCCATACTGAAGGCTGCAGTCTTTTATATTCATCAGTAAATAACTTAAGTCAGTTTCCCAAGCAAGGTTGCATCACCTACATATCTCAGGTTTAATGAGTCTTCCTCCAATCCTGATGCCTCGTTTTTCATATAATCCAGCTCTTGGATTATTTGTTCAGCACACAGATTGAAAAAATATGGTGAAAAAATACAACCCTGGCACACACCTTTCCAAATTTTAAATCATTCAGTGTTCCTTGTTCTGTTGGAACAATTGCTTCTTGGTCTATGTACAGATTCCTCAAGAGCACA